TTGATGGACAATGTGAAATACTATTTTTATAAATTGGTAATCTGGGTCAGGAATTAATATTGTGTAAGATTTTGTATTTTTCATTTATATATGTGCATAAATATCAGTTAAACATCAGTTTAAAAAAATGATACAAAGGTAATAAAAGTAAAATATTCCACATGACAGACTCCTCCAGTGCTAGTTTACCTGGGGAAAAGAATTGTAGTCCTTGCCTCTTTGATATTAGATCACGTAATGTCAATGGGGAACAGAAGCAAGTAAGGTAATGTCACTCTGTATTCTATCATTGAGAAATACTGACCTGTGTTCAAATAATAATAATTTAGCTAGAGGCAAAGAGATCTGAAAAAAATTACACTTGACGATAATATTTTTCTTTTTATGTTGTAGAAATTAACACTAGTCCATGTGAACAGTAACCAGTGTCTGGACAAAGCAGCAGAAGAAGACATTCAAGTCCCCAGCATTAAAGATTGCAATGGCAGCCGCTCCCAACAATGGCTCCTCCGTAATGTCACTCTGCCAGAAAACTTTTAAAATATCTTTGGCAAATTAGATGGAAAAATGTATAAACTTATAAAAAAGAATTGACTGCGCTACCTCTGCACATGTGAATTGCACATCCTTGTGTATCCAGAGAAGGAGACTGTTTTTCTGCACCAGTACAGGCCAGGGGCACATATCAGCTCAAGACTAGCTCTTGGTTTTCTAGTAGCTGCAGAATTGCCCACCTCTATGAGGATGTAAAATGGTATACTTTGTGTCAGAACTGTGCACATTGAAGTTTACAAGAAGGAAACATTTCCCTCATCAAGGAATTATCTATGAGAACTTTATCCAGTGCAGATGATTAAGGCATTGGTCCCCAGGAGAACTGCATATCGGTACAGTCAGCTTGCACAACTGTACCCTCCACACGTCGGAAGGTGTATGCCAAGCAACTGTTACAGTCCATGTACCCATTGCACTCCTGACCGCACGTCCAACAAAGTATCCTGGGTGCTCAGTAGTCGACGGATGGCCACCGTCAAAGTAATGCAGAAAAGAAATAGACACCGGCACTCCAATAATAAATCGATTACGTCTATTTATTGACGTACATCAAAAGCAAAATAACACACTTAGTGCGACGTTTCGGGTACACACAGGAACCCCTTCATCAGGCATGTTTTGCCTGATGAAGGGGTTCCTGTGTGTCCCCGAAACGTTGCACTAAGTGTGTTATTTTGCTTTTGATGTACGTCAATAAATAGACGTAATCGATTTATTATTGGAGTGCCGGTGTCTATTTCTTTTCTGCCAAGCAACTGTGACCCTCTTTGGATTGTGTATCAACATTCTTCATCTTCCGAGTAAAGAATGTACAGAATGAACAACTGCAATTCCAAATGACATCTCACATTATTTTTATGTGTGATTAAACAGGGTCCAAAGGATAAGATAAACATATATCAAAAGTACAATTTGTAATAGCAAAATATCAGATTTATATGTAGATTTTTTTTTTTACCTTTTGGTGCAACAATAACCAATTAAAAAAAAAAATCTTATTTCAGTTGTGTTCTAGTAACGAATAGATCTATTTTTCATGATTGGAATGATATTAATTTTTAAAAGAGATGCCGAAATGTGGGTGGGGGAACGTCTTCTTAAATGTTTGTTTTTCTTTTTAAATCTCGTGTTTTTCTTTCCGTTTTTGGGGTACTGACCAAGGTCCATAATGATGTCTGTTCACCTTGCCTTCTAAAATGCAGGATTAATAATACCATGCAACGTTAGTGTTGTGTCATCTAATGTATTCAGTCTCTGTTTTTGTCTGAAGAAAAAAGAATTTTCGTAATCAAATGATAAAAGCAGTTAAAAGTGGCTGATTTGTTTGTAGTGCCGAGAATTCATACTACTGTACATTTTTTTTACACAGCAATAAATCTAGTTTGTTCTAGCCAAAACAGTGTTTGTTGTTCAATAAAAACAAAATTAGGGAATTGTTTGCAAATTTAGTCAGTTGATATATTGTAGGTAATAGTTTCTGAACCAAATTGTAATGCATGTGGGAAATTAAACCTATTTTAGTATGAAGTGTAAGCATAGTTAAAAGGTATGCAATATCATCCGCTTTCAAAGTATGGATTGCAATAGCATTGAAATGGGAAATTACCATTTATTTTCACTAACTACATGTAGAACTAACTAAAAAGATTTGCATATGCTTCACTATCGCAAACACATTTCAAATACAAATTTATAGTTTTAATTAAATGCCAGATTAATTCCCAATAGTAGTTACCACTATGTCAGACATTGCACTTAGCATACCTGCTGAACAAATGCTGAAAGAAGATGAGGTGAAGGATAAGGGTTCTAAAGATATTGTTTTCCACAAAAGTCTGTTTACAAAGTTCTATCTATAAACTTGCAGTGGCAAAATTAGCAGTTAAGTCGTATTACTGTACTGCTGACCATCTTTTTAGAATGAGCAAGTGTTAAGGCAAATGGATCTGTAAATACAAACTGTAAACTGCTTTTTTTATGGCCTTACTATTGTACTTACAATAAAACAGCTGAGTACTGTATGTGAAACATTAGATTTTAATACCGGTAGCTTTTTCAGAAAAATCAACTGAAAGTGCAAATCCAAAACTCTGTTCTTCAGGTCAAAGCAGTTCTTGAATATACTATACAGTGCAATTAGGGCTTACGCAGATGGACATTTAAAAATGGATCTGAACACAAGTGTATTGTTTGCTATGGGCCCATATATACAACTGCGTAAAGATCAGTAAACTTGTGCTGCATTCAGATCTATATAAAAAAAATAAAAAATCTGGTTCCATGTATCCAGGGGTGCATATCTATGGTAATAAGTGCTTATGAAAAACACTGAAATTGTGCCTTTGCCCAAACATCTGACACCCCAGTTCTGGCACACCCAGACACACACACTATTGTTGCTGGGCCTGTAAGGTCGGTGCAGAATAAGGAATATACAGCACAGTGTACAGATTGAGCCAGTGAGGACTATAACATGTAAAACAAGGTATATAAATCAGGCAGCATGGACTGGGGAATGCACAGCATGACATATGAAATGCAGCTGTTTGGAATACGGAATTACAACATGACATATGAAATGCGGCAGTGTGGAATAGGAAATGTTCAACATGGCATATGGAATGAGTTGGAGCGGAAAAGGGAACATATTCAGCATGACAATTGTTTTCTATATGTCCTTGAGGTGACCTACGTTGATTGGTACAACACAGGTCACTGCTAGATTTGTGAACAGGCCCTTAAGCGGCGCCACATGCAGACTAGGGATGAGCCGAGTGTTCGATTCGAACATCGGCAGTTCGAGCGTTCGCTGAACTTTATGGGATGTTCACAGTTTGTTCGACCATGGACATTCCATAAGGCAAAATGACCCTCTGAAGCTCTGATTTGTTAAAGTTTTGCACCTGATTAGGTGAAACGCATTAGTGGTGATTGACTAGCAGGCGGGGATTACAAGCTTGGAGTTGACTGGATTTTACAAATAAAGAAGCGTTTGATGAAGATTGGCAGTGAGCGGCTGTGTTGTTGGATTGCATTTGCTGTGGAGTATGGACAGCTCTCTTGCCTGTAACAAACCCAAGTAGTGGAACTGTGATGTGGAAGTAGCGGTGGAGGTCTCTTTTTGCATTTAAAGACAGCCCAGCTGGTCACTTGCAAACAAGTCAGGGCATAGGAATGCCTACAATATTCACTTCCTGTGCCAGGCTGTGCATTAGATGAGTCATCAGTCAGAGCCCAGCAAAGAAAGTGAGTAATGTAACTTCCTGCCCCAGCTCTTTGTTTACAGGTGATAGCAGCGCATGGTCTGTCACGGTGGGTCTGTGCTGATGAGAAGTCTGAATGGGGCACAGCTTAACTAAAGAGGTGAGTGGTGTAGCTCCCCTCCTCAAGTGGCGTCCAAGGCATGTGCCCTGCCTGCCACACCCTAGATACGCCACTGCCTTTATTGACCATATTTTGTGCTGTTTGCATGTAATGTTTACACAGTTCTATTGGTCTTTGCAGCTTAAATATTTAAAATTTCAAGCTGCGCGCTACTGCTAGGTCCTTTGGTGTACCCCTTTCACTGCTCTTCTACTCCATTCAAGAATTGGTAGAATAGTCTGCTTATTATTTTTGGGATAAATTATTAATCCTTCGGGATATAGGAATTGTGTTAGAAGGATGTACTTTGATCATGGTGGTTTGATGTCTCAGGGACAGAGGAAGATTGCCTTTTTTCATATATATTTATTCCCTTTTCCCCTACCTGCAGGTGAATACAAAGTGCTGTTTGAGAAATAGAATATTGATATATACTATTTAATATTTGGTATAAGAAGTGCTGTTTTGAAAAACAAAATATTCTGAAATAAAATATTTATATCTACTTATTATTTGGCTCTTAAGGTCAATATGCATTGCATGGGTTTTAGGAAACTTGAAGGTCCAGAATTGCCTCTGGTTTGTAGATAATTTAGACCTTGCTTGCTGGCTGTTACATATGCAGATCTGCCTATAATCAGATAATCCCGATCAGTGCTGTAATAGGAGCACTGATACAACCCAATATTCCTTCATGTGCACCAGACTGTTTGCAACTATTTCAGCAAACATAAAGCACTTTTTGCAGAGGATGCCTGAATTTTGAGTGGAAGCTTTGTACAGTCCTCTGAGAAATAGTGAGCCAGACATATTAGCAGGGGGAAATTTGCATTTTGGGAGGTTTGTATATAAATAATACTGTTGGCGTATTGGCAAGGGAGATCATTTATTATTTCTTGAAAGTTTAGCAATTGTTTTATTTTTGGTTAGCGTGGGAAATTGTAAGAACCTCTAACAGGTTTTATTGCTGTGTTCCTGCTGGGTCTAGAGCTGTACAATGAGCAACAAGTGGGTGACAATTTTCTAGCTGGGGTATGCAGACAGAACTACTTCTAGAAGAGTGACTATAAAAATGTATAGACAGAGGCGGTTCTAGACTTTGTGACTCCTTAGGCGAAACTCAAATGTGAGGCCCCACTTACACCCATCATGAAAAAATTCAAATTGAACTGTGATCATAAGGGACGGGAGAACACCCACTGGACTCTGCACATAGAAACACTCTGGACCCTGCACGTAGCAAAGCTCTGGACTCTGCACATAGCAACACACTGGACATAACCACTGGACTCTGCACATAGCAACACTCTGGACATAGCAACCCACAGAACTCTGCACATAGCAATGCACCGCCTAACTTGCCTAATTAAAGAGCCGCCTCTGAGTATAGAGTATGGAAATTTGTAAAATTTCTATATAGTTTTATTGCTTTGGTGTCCCTTCTTGGAAGATATCCCCTCACTTTCTGTCCAGGTGATAGATCCCAGCTAAAACAGGAACGAGGGGATATCTCTCTAGTAAACAAAACCCAAATGGCATTTACATTTTCGAGACATTTTACGTTTTTAAGTTCCATTTTCTCTATTCTAAGCTAAATGTGTACTCTGTAGTTGGGTTTTAAAGGGTATTTCCACTTTTCTGGTCAAATGTGAGAAACCTCCACTATGTTATGTGTTTGCATTCACACAGCATACCTAAAAAATGTGAAAAATAGATTCTTACCTTTTACCCACATGGAGCTACTAGTGGTTAGAATATATGCTAGTGAGCTGATAAGGGACAGACTGAGGGGCAGTTTATTTTTTATTTTATTTTTTAAGTGCATTAACAGACAATGCCTTAAAATATTTAACCCTTTGCTTCGTCAACCATCCTGCTCATCTT